AGTATCATTGACAAGTTAGGTGTTTGGATCTGTTTTCACAGGAACCTGCATTTCAAAGACTAATATTTGTAACTATGCTTGCATGGGAACACCCCTGCAGCAGCTCTAATGACTATTCAACTGAATATCTACCAAAGGATTCTTTTAAGGTAGTTATCCACTCTATACATTTGTATTGCTATGTTTGGTGGAAATAGCAGGGAGAGAGGGAAAATTTCTGCAGAAGATGTTTTATACTCCGTGTGTTATAAGTTTTACAAATATTTAACTTATGTATATAATGGAAGTATATACATAAAATGAGCTTGAACAAAATTATCAAAATTTATGTATTGAATTTGAACGTTTGCTTTCCTCCTGCTTTTTCCTTTATAACTTCTCTTGCAGCTTCCTTCTTATTTTATTCCGTAGCCTTTTCATGGCTCCAAATAGATCCTATATGTTCACAGTTTAACATTTTCTTCCAAATTGTTTTTCAAACAATTTCTTGTTGCTTAACTACAATTAAGACTTGACTTTTAGCATTTCCAGTAAGGGGTGTGTATTTTTTCTCCCAATTCTGTGCAAACTGTCAATGCTATAAGCCTATAACTTAACCTGTTCAATATTTTGTTGTTGAAAGTTGAAGGGGAGGGTGGTAGGGGAAGAGGCTTTTGTTCGTATTGCTCCAGCCATTTCAGGTGTGGCTGATTGGTCAACAGCACACAACCTTTTCAAATCACTTGCTGATAATGAACATGGGGGTATGTCATTCACCTCGTGGTCGACCTATATCAATGATGTTCTCAGGTGAGCATTATCATCTCCCATAATAATGAATTATAAATTGTAATAGCCACCCAATCTTCAAAATGTTCTTTGTGAGTGCTGAATTTATGGTTCTTTGATACACATAATTACATACACATTCTGTAACTAATTTCAGGGTGCATGACAGATGGAAATCATATGAATTTCAAGAGTTCCCTAACATTTCTGATGAGAGGGTTCTGTTTATTGCTTCAGGGGGGAAGTCCCCAGTTTTAAAATGGAAGAATAATATGGCATGGCCTGGCACACTGACTTTAACCGATAAGGCACTTTACTTTGAGGTACTACAAATTTCTATATTCCAAGTAGCGTGACAACTAAGTAGGACGGATTACCATACTCATCTAGCTCTTTTTATTATAAATAAATAAAAGTAGTAGTATTGATATATTGATGTTGTTTTTAAAATAGTGCAGATAATGTTTTTGTTTTTTAAGTATTATAGATATTGTTCTTTTGTTTATAATTAGCAATTCATGCCTAACCTTTGGAAAGGCATGTATTAAAGTTTCAATTCCTTGAGTAAATATATATGAGGTGTTTTGAGGGAATGAAATGAAAATAAAACATTTTTCTTGATATCCAAATACCCTTGGTATTTAAATTTTACTTAGGGGGGATCTTAGATCATGTATTGTGCATGTTTGAGTTGCTACTATTATACTTCGTATTACATATTTCAGTGTTATTCTAGGGTGTAGGGTTGAAGGGGAAAAGAGAAGTTTTAAGACTTGGTCTCAACAAAGATGGCTGTCATGTAAAGAAAACCAGGGTCGGCCCTTTGGGATTTGATCTTCTTGACTCTGCTATAGCTGTCTCTTCCGGTCCGGAGTGAGTAAGCTTCTCCAAGGATCATCTGTTAACCATAGTTCTCATTCAGATCTGTTTGTTCATTGCTTTGACTAATATTTTTTACTTGTGATGATACTGTCTGGTTAAAAAGTCTCAACTCTCAACCAATCGAACTTATGAAAAGTTGTTTAGAGGTTTCTTTAAGCCATCTATGGTTCAAAGGAGGCGATGGGAAGCAGAATATAGTATGTGCGGTTAAATATGGATCAATAAGAATTTGTATTTTTTAATTGTGAAAAATCGTGTATTTGAAATAATTTTTGGTATAGTAAAATTGTTCTCCATGTATGACAACAATATTGTATAAACTGTTGGTTTCAAGAAAAGGGTAAATAGAATAAGGAAGCAAAGAACTCCCCAAAATCCTCCAAATTGGGTGGGGGCGGGGGTTATGAGGAGTTTCAAGGATTTTATTGCTCCTCCACTTTCCTTTCACCTTCCCCCGTACTTCACCAGTTCACCCAACCAAACACATACAAGTCCTTCACTCTCATTGCCTCCCTTACAAAACCCGTCCAACCAAACAAGGCTAAACAGAAGTTGTTCACTGCTTTTGGTACACAAACGCTGAAGCTTGTGATAATGATCTACCTATAGTGACATTTTTCTTTGAGATATAAGTCTGATCTCTTTATAAAACTTTAATTTGTATAATGAACACAAGTTTCTGTTTCTGCAAGAATTGTGTCATTTTATTTGTTCACAAACTTTGCATGACAGATCTGAAGCATGGGTATTAGAGTTCATTGATTTGGGAGGTGACATGAGGAGGGATGTCTGGTATGCATGCATCAATGAAGTTATTTCTTTATATAAATTCATACAAGGATTTGGACCCAATGAGGATTCTGACCAGCGTCAATCTGATAAAGGGAACACAAAAGCAACCATTTATGCTACTAACGCAATATCAAGACTCCAGGCACTTCAAATTTCTGGGAAGCTTCTAGATGATCCCAACCAACTGGTCCTGTTCTCATACCTGCAAGACTCGTTGCCCTACAGTGATGTCATGCTGCAGACCCTAGCAGTGAACTGCTGGTCTCAGCCATTGACAGAGAAAGAACATCAACGTTCTGGATCAAACGAGACAGTGGAGACTCATGTGTTCGACATAGATGGAAGCGTATACTCATGCAAATGGATGAGATCACCAACATGGGCTTCAAACTCCTCACTCTCCTTCTGGAAGAGCTGTTCAGTGAAACAGGGGGTAATAGTCTTCAGTAAAAATCTCGTGGTTGGCGATAAGAATGTCATGGAGAAGGCAGGTACGGTGTGGAGAGAGAAATGCAGGGTGGTGGAAAGAACAAGGGAAACCATTAACGCTGCAATGATTGAAGGAATCCCTAGCAATATTGCCCTCTTCAAGGAACTGATGCTTCCATTAGTGGTCATGGGCAAAAACTTCGAAAAGCTTAGGCGTTGGGAGGACCCGCTGCTAACCACGTCTTGTCTCGTGCTGACATACACCCTGATTTTCAGGGACATGCTGTCAATCATATTCCCTGCAACCTTAATGGTTTTGGCGGGAGGGATGCTATTACTCAAGGGATTGAAAGAGCAAGGACGTCTCGGGAGATACTTCGGGAAAGTCACGATCCGTGACCAACCGCCTTCAAACACGATTCAGAAGATCATTGCTCTCAAAGAAGCATTGAGGGAGTTAGAGAAGTGTCTCCAGAGTCTCAACGTTTCATTGCTTAAATTACGGTCTGTTGTTCTTGCGGGGCAACCTCAGATCACAATGGAGGTTGCTCTGGTGCTTCTGTTTGGTGCTTCCATTTTACTGATTGTTCCGTTCAGATATATTCTTTCCTTTCTGATCTTTGATATGTTCACAAGGGAGCTTGAGTTTCGAAGGCAGATGGTTCTGAGATTCGAGAGTTTTCTCAAGGAACGGTGGGACACTGTCCCGGCATCCACAGTTGTGGTGGTGCCATATGAAGTTGATAAGTCGGAGGGCTTGGCTAAAGAAAGGAGATGAGCAAATAGGTAAAAGTGTTAAATAATACATATGCATTCATGTACATTTGTAGAGCACTATGGGTTGGGTGATATGATGAATGACTACTGAGAGTTTTATTTTCTTTAGAGCTAATTTGTGGTTGGAGTATTTTAGAGTGAAGGGATTAATTTTAGTTTACTAGTATATCTATGTTATTACTACGTATTTTTTAAGTAGAAATAACTATATGATTCCTTTCATTAAAAAACTACTCCATGATTCCTCAGTTCTTATATACGGAAGTATTTAATTATTTATATAGTTTTTATTTTCACATTATTTTTATCCAGCTAGACTCAGAAATTATTTTTAATACGTAGTAGATTATGGATGTTTTTACTTGGATTGTAATTTGCTGGTCTGATTTGTTCTGTTTTGGTCTGGTCTGGTCTGAAATTTCATTTTTTATATTTTTTACATAAAGATTTTATTTTTAAATATATATTATAATCCATAAATAATTATATTTTATTCATTTATAATTAAAAATAATAATAGTAATAATAGTAATAATACTGATGGTGGTGGTGGTGGTGGTGGTGGTGGTGGTGGTGGTGGTGGTGGTGGTGGTGGTGGTGGTGATGATGATGATGATGATGATGATGATGATGATAATATGGTCTGGTCTGAAATTTTATTTTTTATATTTTTTGCATAAAAATTTTATTTTTTATATATATATTATTATCCATAAATAATTATATTTTATTCATTTATTTAAAAATAATAATAGTAATAATACCAATAATAATAACAATGATGATGATGATTATGATGACGACGATGAGGATCATAATAATAATAATAATAATAATAATAATAATAATATGGTCTGGTCTGGTATGTTTTAGTGGTCTATTCTGTTTTGGTCTGGGTCCAATTAGGCCTATTCTAAAATTCTTGAACCAATTAGGATGTTTTTACTTGGACTGTAATTCGTCCCAGATCAGACCAGTTCAGACCAGACCAGACTTGGATAGTTATAAAAATACAAAGAAATCAGAACAGTTCAGACCAGACCAGATCAGTCCAGACCAGCAAATTACGGTCCAAGTAAAAACATCCTTAGTCGCAGCTACTTTTAACATGATAAACTCTTTTATGAATTAACCACTTGCTAATTGAAAAAAAAAAGTCCTTTATGAATTATGAGCAGAAACATCTCGTTTACTCAGTGATATGCTAAGCGTATTTAGCCTATCACTCTCATTAAACAGACATCTAATCCTGGACACAGTCCAACCTCTTCCAGTTTCATGAATAAATGATGGATTACTCGCTACTTGAGCAGTTTGAAATGAAGATTTCGGAAAACACCCATTTAGCATGTGAAATAAATAATCCAATTTTAGGAAATAAGCTCCCTTATAAGTTATAAGGCTTACAAGGGGAAAAAAGAGTTAGCAAAATGGAGTCCTAGATGTTTATTGCCCAATAAAAAAATTCAAGGTCGTGTCAAATCGATAATAACCATTACAAAATGAGCCCGAATTACAACTCATGACTGTTTGTTCTTGGAATCGTCTTTCCTCCTCTTGTCTCGATAATTCTTGGAGTGGAAATCCAGGAATAGAGCCAAAAGGGAAGCATTGAAAACCGCATTGAAGCACCAACCCGATATTCCGGAGCAACCCGACCCAGTAAAGTGAAAATACAACATCAACCCTGAAATCGCAAAGCTAAACACAAACTGGATAATCTGGCAATTCGTTACCAGCCGTTTCCACCACGGTCGGTAACCCAGTGCGCAGAGCAAGTAGTAGGCGTACATTAGCACGTGAACGGAGGCGTTGGTGACCAGTGCGACGGGGAACAGCGTCTGCGCCGTCGACAGCCAGAGGTAGCACATCACCACCACCACGGCGTGGTGGTAGACGTGGAGGAATGAGAGCCGTCGGGTGCGGGACCCACTGAGGATGATCAACAGGGTGTCAATGAATTCGAGAATCTTCGAAAGATAGAAAACTTGGGCCCAGAAGAACGTTGGTCCACGCGGAGGCGTGTGATTGGCCGGGAAGCAGACCACCCAGCTCCAGTCGCGATTAGGCATCTGGTGGAAGGCGGCGAGGGAGCATCCGGCGGCCATGACGAGGGAGAGGAGGCATAGGATCAGGTTGTGCGCGGCGGTGATGAGACGGAGGGAGACGGAGGAGAGGGGTGGGAGAAGGTCAAAGCGGTGGAGAGAGAGAGTGATTCCGAGATAGGTGATGACTGTGACGGCAAGGAAAGGAGGAGAGGAGCCTAATGTGTGGCCTTGTTTCCACTCGAATTGGCTTATTGCTGGGTGGTCCACCAGCCAGTAGCGGACGGCGGAGATGAGAACCTCCATGGCAGCTGGATAGAGATGAAACGATTTTTGTCTGGGTTGAAGCTAAACTTTACCCTCTGTCACTCTGTGAAGGAGGGTTTCAGATAACCCTCGTTAACCGACGGACGAGTACAGACAAGACAGGTAATGCCACTCGCCATTTGCTCTGGCACGGTCCATTTTCGGCCCAAACTGTTTTCTTTTTTCAATGGGCAGTTTGACATGGTTTATTTCATAGAAATTGCTCAGGAGCAAAAGCGTTTTTGAAATTTTAAAATAGGAGTATCATGCTTTTTATTACCTGAATATGAGTAATCTGACAAGTTCGAAAAAAAAAGCCATGTTTCAAAGCCTAGTAATGCCAAACTTGGCAGAAATTTATTCCTATTCAAGGAATAAAAAACATGATATTCCTATTTTGGAATTTCAAAACTTTTTTACTCCTATTTAGGGAATTCTCTCTTTATTTTAGGGAATTTTTGGTGGACTAAAAAGTGAAAATAATATCACTTTTTTTCAATTTTCAAAGTTTTTTCAAAAAAGATTAAAGAAGATTTTCTTTTCAAAAATAAAACATGATCACTATGTCTGCTTGTTACGTAGAATTTGCACAATGAAGATTTTTAAGAAATTGCATACGGAAGATTCAAATCCTTTTTATGCGCCAATCTACCAACTTTTTACTCCATTATTTGTTGGATATTATTTTTGTGTTTCTTTTTGTTGATAAATTTGATTTTTTTTGTTTTATATTGTTTTTACATGTTTTTTGTTGTTGATATTAAAAATTTCAAACTTATTCAAAAAAAGATGTTTGTGTGTGTATGTGTGTGTATATATACATACATATATATATATATATATATATATATATATATATATACATACATATATATATGTGTGTGTGTGTATTCTATATTGAAGCTCGAAATGAGGAAAATGATTTTAATTACAACATTTGGTTTTGTTGATTAAGATAAGATGAAAGGGCCGGTAAGCAGCCAGTGGTAATTGACATAATTAACTATGCATGATAAACATGGGTATTTACAATTTTAGTCCCCCAAACATTCAATTCAATTGTGTCCGTTATTAATCCTATAATTTTCCTCGTATGCATATTTTATCCCGTAACTAATAAATCTTTACAATTTAAGGATTTTTTTCTTAAATTGTATCCGCAAAGTGTACTTTTAATTTGGCAGTAAAGTTCTTAAATTGCATGGTCCGTAACTAAAGTTAAAAGACTAATAACAGTCTGTAACCAAAGGTATGACTAAAATTGTAAATCTCCATCATAAATATTCCATTGTTGACTCAGATTGGAAAATGTATTTGCATGCATGCAGATTGAAAAGGTAGTCATAGACTCCAAGTTCTTAATTAATTACTACTAGCTTGTTCTTTACTTGAGATGAGGGGAGACATGAAGGATGAAGAAAAGATAGATGTGCAAAAGGGGCAAAAGCAAATCAAAGCAAACCCCGTTTAGAAATTTTGCTGGAAGGAAGACTGCAATCCCAGAAAGTCATCCTTAGTTTGCCCTCCCTCCTTCCTTCTCATTCTCAAGAGGACCTTCCTGAACTGTGCATCTATATATTTCTATAGTAAAAGCCTTAGCTTAGCTTTAGTGTAAACTTTCCGCCCTCTAATAAAAACATAATCTCTCCCTCGACCGATCTGATGCCTATGAACCTTTTTCATGGAGTGGATATCCGAGTGAACGGGTTCCGGAGAATGAGAAGATACCATTACTACTGGTGCAGGCAATGCCGGAGATCGGTCAGAACTGTTTCGTCAAACCCCGTTGGGATATTATGCCCCCGTTGTTTCGCCCAAGTCCGGTTCGAACTGGACGCTACCCGAAGCAGACTGAGGAGGAGGAATGAAGAAGAAGAAGGCTCTGCAAGAGGAGGAGGGTTGCTTGATGCTTTGGCCGTCCTGCTGGATCCCCCACTCGGTCAAGAAGACCAAAACCGTGATCTCCGGCAAGTCCATCGTTCTCTTGTGATCTCGCAGTTCATTGGTCCTGAAGAACAGACTAATCCCCGGCCTCCTATGCCGGTCTCTCCGGACGAAAATGATCGATTTTATACTGACCCCCGTAAGTATTAAGGTTTGAGCATTTAGGGTGTGTTTGGAAGTTATTTGGGGGGGGGGGGGGGGGGGAGGGTGAGGAGGTTTTGCTGATCCTCTATTTTTTGTTTGGGAGTTTAAAAAGTAGAATGAATGGTTTTAGATTTTTTATGTAACTTTCCAAAACCTTTCAAAAAAACCTTTAAAATGCTCAGACTTTAAGTTCTTTTGTCATTCAAGTTCCACAGATTTGTCATTTTTGAAGAATAACTTTAAGTTCAACTATTTTAATACTATCGTTTCCGTATGTTATACTCTGAAGCCATTTTAATTATACTTCTTTCCTAATCTCTTGTTATCTGAACTCTAACTCCTAAACAGAGGGGTTCCCTCCATTATCCTCCCTCCATTATCCTCCTACTGTAATCTTCAAAGCAATCCCCTCTCATTCTCAAACTCCCTAAATAGGATTAAAACAATCATAAAATTCACAGATAAGATTCTCATTGTTTTATTCCGAATATAGGACTCGTTCACTCCTATTTTAGTAAGCTTTAATCAACTAATTCTTTCAATACGTCATATTTGCGAAATAAAACACACTTAGTCCTGAACTTTAAATATGTTTATGTCCTATCCTAAGGAATTTCTAATACGCGAATATATTTTAATGGTATTTATTGAATATCAATTCCCTAATTCAAGTTTTAATATGTTGGGCTTGTATCTTTCCAAGAGCTGACCGCTCCTGATGAAGAAGAAAGATTTGGGCCGCCTCCGGCGACATCTTCAGCCATTGAATCTCTACAGAGAGTGGTGATCACTCCAGCTCATTTGGCCATCGACTCGACCTGCGCCGTATGCAAGGATGAGTTTGAGGTTGGTGATGAAGTGAGGGAGCTGCCTTGCAAGCATTTCTACCATTCTCCCTGCATTCTCCCCTGGCTTCGAATCCACAACACCTGTCCTGTTTGTCGCTGTGTTCTGCAAAGCTCCCCGACCCATAATGACGAAGAAGATAATCGTCCTTCTGCTGCAGATCCTTTTCACCGCGAAGAAGAAGATGATGGAGAAGCTGCTGAGGTCGACCTCATTAACCCTGTTGTTCGGTTTTGGGATTGGATTTCGTCTTTATGGCCTTTCAGTCTGCTGCCGAACTGTATGCACCCATTAACACATCGTCCTCAAACCTGGCTCCTTCTTCTATAGGTGAGAGAATAGCTTAAGAATTTGCATTGGTTATGATAGAGATGGGGTTCTTGTACAAATGACTAAAATAAACATGACGTACAAATGAGTACTTAATTTAAATTAGTAAATTTTCATGACTAATATCATATTGAATTTCTACACTACAGTATCTATAAAAATGCACTCGAAGTCACATTTTTGTTCATAAATTTTATTTTAGTAATGCTTTTACTAAAAGTGGTAGGAGTGCTTCATGATCATACTCCGTATGTTAATACGGAGTATGTTATACTCTGTACTATGTATATATTATACTCCATTAATATCTGTGTATTTTTATACTTCGTATATGTTGTTGTCTCATATCGATTATCTCTAAAACAATTAACCATTATATTAAGATCCTGAACGTCTCCTTTTATCAGATTGATCTTTTAAATTACGATGAAATACCGGATGTCCGGATCATAATAATATATCAAATTTCATTGACACAACTATTTGAGCACGTCCTCCACTCCTCCATAGCAAAAATAGTACACAAAAATGAAAATAAACGTATATCACTATATCAGAACAAGGTTCATTCGTAGTACTAAAATAACAACACCCATCATTCAAGGAAATAAAAAGAAAATAAAAAAGAAAGTTCACTAAAATAATAGATGTACAATTCTTGGCGTACACCCTGTGATACACCATCTTTATTTGCCATGCACACAGACAAGAATCCGACAAACACCAGACACTTTCGATTAAACTGTCGATGTGAATAAAATTAGTTTTCAGATCTGTCAGACTGGTTGCACGGAAACCAATGTCGATGTACATAGACATTAGTTATCTGTGTAGACAAAAAAGTGTCGGTGTGAACAAAATTGGTTTGCAATTGTCGGTGTACACAGACACTAGTTGTCTGTGTAGAAAAAAATGTCTTTAAGGTTTAGTAACTAACTGATAGATTTCGTCTGTGTACAGACACTGAGGGCAAACCAGTGTCGGTGTGCATAAAACGTAAAAAGAAAGAATTAGAGAAGAAGAAGAAGATGGTGATGAACAACAATGATTCAAAGGAATCGTTTCTAAACTAAGCTAATAAATCGTAAAAAGAAAAGAAAAAGAGATAAGGGAAAACAAGAAGTTGAAGAAGAAGAAAGAAGAAGAAAGAGAGGAAGGGGAGTGCGTGTGAATGAAGAGGGTAGGAGGGAGAGAGAAAAGAGTGGAGAGGGAGGGAGGGAGGGAGGAAAAATGGGGAGGAAGTGAAATAATAAAAATGAGGAGTACCGGTGGCCGTAGCTCAACTGTTAGCAAGGGAGTGCCACAAGGGTTATCTCGGGTTCAAATCCCGGCAACTGCGATGGGGGTTATTATGCTAAAAATGCATAGGGTCTCTGCAAATACCGGGGACAGAGCCCCGCTCTCTATCTCCCAGATTGGGATTATAGTCCAATTTATATCCTCTCAACGTATCGTCCGGTCGGGGTTGAGGGGCCCTCAGAGATGGAGTGTCATCCTTTTTTTATAAAGTGAGGAGTTATATAGGGTGTACCCCTAGGTGTAACTCAGGGTGTACCTAAATAATTTTCCATAATAGATAGAGCTACTACAAAAGTACAAAGCAAGGACAAGTGGACGACCTAGGGTGGGCATGGGGGCAAGTGCCCCGCTCCGCCCCGCCCCGACCCCAATTCTAGTCACGAAAAATACTACGGTAGAAGAATCAACAAACAAAAGGTACACTTTTTGTGTACACCATTCACACATCTTGTTTGTCTACACAGTCAGAATTATTTGTATACAAACATGCATGTACATCCGGATTGTGCACTATGTACTCCGTATATTCCTACAAAAAGGTTGAATCCCCAATCCCAAAGGCTCCTCACGTCCCGACTTGATAGGGCGACAGGACCTATGAGAGCAGGGGCGAGGCCAGGACACTGGGTTGGTATAAAGAATATTTTTGAATTTTTTTACATCAAATTTTTTACACTAAAAATATAAACATTGATAAAATTTGGATTGAGTCAGGGCTAATCCTCCTTAAGCTACGTCTCTGTATGAGAGATCGTATATTACGGTGAATGAGTCAACTAAATGGTCAAAGTTCTATGTATACCCCTATATCGAATTGGAATCTTTATTATTGGGGGCTAGGTCCACCGACCGTTTAATGTCTCCACTAATATCAATAGTACAAATTAATGAATTATCCCACCGCCTAGCAAATTGTCCTCAGGCCCCAATACATTCTCATCTGCCGTCTCTCCTCCTCAAAAAAGAAAAAGATAAGATGGAAGCTCTGATTTCTCAGTTCACGATCCTCTCGGACCAAGCCCTTTGCGACAAGAACTTCGACCCCCAAGCCATTGATGACGTCATGAAGCTCTTCGAGCTCGAGGCCTACAAGGCCTGGGCGTCCATGGAGCTTGAGCAGGAGAAACAGGTCGAAGAAACAGTCACTCACATGCAGGAAGCAGAGGACCATGTCAACTCTGTCATGGACAGCGCAATGGAGGAGTTCCGGCGGTTCGAGGAGGAGATGGATCGGATGGCTCAGGCGGAGTACGACAGTCTGGTCGGCTTCGCCGACAAGGCGTGGGGCGTGGGGAAGGCCGTGGAGATGGCGGCCACCGTCGCTGCGAAGAAGTATATCGAAGCGGCCGTCAACTCCGCTACCTCTTCCATGAGATCTGCCGTCAAAGCCGTTTCTTCTCGTTCCAAAAAGGTTCACCCTTCTTGAAGAGCAATAAATCAATTAACTATTTCTGCAATCAGTAGTTATGCTGTGAACGATTATGTGTAATTTGGTGTATCATAAATGATAATTTATATGAAATGATGAATCCACGAAGCAGTTCGAAGATTTTTGTTTGTTCTGATCCGATCAGTGAATATAATTGCTTTGACGGATCTGATTGAGAAGCAGATTTTAGTCAGGAAAACTAAAGGCTAAACCATTTGCAAATTCAAATAAAATTCGATTTCTCGTGAGTTGGATCTAATTATCTAAGTATCTGATTTCAATCCAATTTGATCTCTCTTCCACTTTTAGTTCAATTTGATGAGTCAACGGGGAATTGGCATGGAAGGTAAATTGTATATTTGGTCGAATACAAATGTCCAGATGAAATTAAGCAGAATAAGTTTTACGAATAATTTACTAGACAGTAAAAAGTGCTGTCCTATTATATCCGACGATGTGTTTGGCATGACTATAACAAAGGGATTGAAATGTAAAAATTAGAAAAAATTGACAAGAATAATCCCACCTTTCACTGATATTCTCATAATAATCCTACCTTTACATAATTCCAAAATAATCCCACATTTGCACCCTATCTTCTTTCATTGGATCCTGACCAAGTTTTTTACCTTTCTTTGAAAATCTTATATATATAATCTCACATTTATAAAGATATAATAGAAAAGTGAAAGTAAGATTATTTATATGATTTTCAAAAAAAGAGTAAAAAATATGGTCAGGGTCCAATAAAAGAAGATGAGGTGCAATGAAAGAAGATGAGGTGTAAATGTGGGATTATTCTGGGATTACCTAAAGGTGGGATTATTATGAGAAGACCAGCGAAAGGTGGGATTATTTTTGTCAATTTTTCCTAAAAATTATAGTCCCTTAAAATTTTGCTTTAGATATTCCACCAACTTTGCCATTTTCCCTTTTAAGTAAAGAGTTTGCGGTTTCAATTCATTCTCCCTCTTCTATACAAACTTCAAGGATACAATATTTACTTTATTAATACATACTCGTGTCGATCAAACTTGTCAAAGTTTTAAGGGACAAATGAAGTATGAAAAATTCTTTTTGTACACGTTCTTATATACATCAGTACACTTCCGTGCCTGTGATAATTTTTCTGTCTGTGAATCCAAATCGATAGACAAAAACTGGTTTGTTTTGTCTGTCGAATTTTCCTCTCACACACAAAAAATGGTAATTTTTTGTTTGTTAACGGGGATTCACAGACAAAAAAAATCTCTCACATATACAAGATGTACTGATGTATAAGAAGGGGTACACGAATAATTTTTGAAATTATATTGGATATTTGAATAGAAGAAAGAGACGAAGTGACAAAATAAAAATAAAAATTCATTTTACGACAACATGAAAAAGAAAGTAAAAAAATCAAAAAGAGATAAACACAAAAATGATTAATGTGACAACTGAGGTAGTACTAGATCAAAGTACATTGCATTTTCAAAACAACAATTCTTAGTGTACACTTTTGTCTGTGAAAAAAACTGGTTTGTTTTGTCTGTGAAAAATTATACAGACAAAACAAGTCAGTTTTTGTCTGTGAACTGAGATTCACAGACAAAAAAACTCTCACCGGCACGGAAGTGTAGTGATGTGTATAAGAAGGTGTACAAAAGAAATTTTTGTTTTCAAAAGGAGGGGCATGTTGTTTGATGTTTCCACTCACGGTAAAATTTTAGTTTAACATAAACTTATCCCAAAAGAAACAAATAAAGATCATTCCACTAATCAATTAGCTTTTTTGTTTTCAGATTAACAATCCGTTAAAGCCTTAAAGGTGCGTTTGGAAGGGGTTTACCCTTCAAATTAAAGCGTCAAACTTTAGAACGGTATAAGTTTGAGTTCTGTTTCAAACTTAATGATTTGATTTGTTAAAGTCGATCTATTTAAATTTGGTCTAATCTCGTTTGTTATATTTAAGTCTTGTCTACTTCATTTATGTGTATTTTACAACTGTTGAAGTCTGGTGTAATCTGTTTAAATCTAGTATGTCCTAATTTGGTCTGGTCCGATCTGTTATGATCTTGTATGAGACTTAAATAAGTCCAATAAAAACATTATACAATATACAAATATGAAAGTGTAAAGGAAGAATATATCCAATAATTTCATATAGACTACCTATTACAGAGTACAAAATAATGAAATATTACGTACAGATTATAGATGTCCAATTTATAAACGAATTTCTAAACATCGAGAAGTCATTCAAAACACAGATTTTGCTATTTTTCATAAAGTAAACTTTTATGTTCTACGAAGTCACTTTTCAAAAACTGAGCAATATGAGTAGTTGTCTAAAAAATTTAGTAGTACTCTTTATTCTCCCTCTCTAACTTTTCTACTTCCTTTGGAATCTTTGGTCTTAGACTTAAAACTCCAATTTTGCACCATGTATAGAGTCTTTTGCCTTCCCTCTCAGGCATCTAGTCCACTAAAAGGCTTTCACAATATAAATTACAGAAAGAAAGCAATGAATTCTTATTTTTAACTTATCAACGATAGTTTCATATTTTTCTCTTAGGAAAAAGGGGCAAATAAGCCCACGTACTAACAAAAAAAGATCAAATAAGCCCTTATATAGGAGACTCTGTCCGGCCGTCGCCATTTGGGGCAGTTCACGGTGGAATTTTTTGATGATTTTTTTAGAACCTTATTAATTAAGTCTAGTTTACGCATATCAAATTTCAGCTAAAACTTCAATCGGGAAGGCATTCAAATGAATTCTTGAAGATAACTGCGCAGTTAAAAGCGCAGTTAACTTCAAGAATTTATTTGAATGCTTCCCCATTGAATTGTTAGCTGAAATTTGTATGAGTAAACTAGACTTAATGAATAAAATTCTCAAAAAAATTCATCAACAAATTCCACCGGGAGCTGCCCCAAATGGTGACGACTGAACAGAGTCTCCTACATAAGGGTTAATTTGACCTTTTTTTGTTAGTACGTGGGCTTATTTTCCTCTTTTTCCTTTCTCTTATAAATGTCTAGTTTTAGATTGTTTGTTATGTTGGTTGATGCATCGGTGCATCATGTTTGATGCATTAATGCATTATGTTTGATGGATCAGCGATGTTTGATGCATTAGTGCATTATGTTTGATGGATCAGTGACGTTTGATGCATTTATTTGTACAACTTTATATAGTCAATACTCAATAGTACTCTTTAATATTAGGGAAACAGTATTTTTAGGGGAGGTGGACCCGAGACTGAAACGGTATTTAAGATTTTAAGGTTCCGATTCGGTCCCTCGAACCGTCCAGTCTCGAGACCAGGGCCTTGTCTGATGTCTGTCACGCCCCGGACGTTGTCTGTCACGCCCCAGACCTCGTCTGTCACGCCCGGACCTCACTGGACATGTTAACAACCGCCGTACAATCTAGATAAGTCAACGGCAGTCAAATTTACCCAAACCATACAAAACATAATGAATATCATACACATATAGTCATCCATAAACAAACATAGTAAACAATTCAATACACAGCGGAAAGTATAGTTTAAAACCAAATGCCACACAGGGCAAACATGAACACGCACTGATGGAGTATATGGCCCGAGAATCCCCGGCCCACAGACTCCCACTACTCCAATAAAGGCCCAATAGGCCCAGGGAGCACAACAAGCCCAAATCACGGCGCCCAAGGTACCAAGTAGCCCGCAACGCGCACCAGGGGGAGCCTTCGGGCCCCTGGCCGAAGGCTCTAACTCTCACAGAAGGGCCAAGACAGGAAAACAAAGTTACTGGGATGAACAGCGAAAATCAGTAGCCCTCGGCAACTGGAGCCCTTGGCACTAAAGGGTCCCCTGTACTCAGAGCCCTCGGCCAGTCATCTACAGCCGAGGGCACCTTTCCCGACATAATATCCGCTCCACATGTGTATGGATCACCTTACCAAGTACGACGTCCCATCCAACAGCCGCATTAAATGCGGCCACATGCGGTTGCCAGCGCCAACCAGTTGAGGTGACCTCTCGGCCAATTGGCGCTTGACACGTGTCCCTGTCCGGCATTTATTGCTACTATAAATAGCACCCCATTTTCCCGTTGTAAACCAGGCTGAAAACACTGAATACTTTCTAATATACTTTCTCTCTCTATACTCATTTGCTCTACCTTCTCTCTTGCTATTCCCCGTAATACCCCCTCGGATAAGCTACCCCCCGGGTACACTATCCATCATTTGGTGCTCTCGTTGAGAGGTCGAACAATCAAGTAAGAAACCCTCCCCCTCGGCCAAACACAAAACACCCATCTAAAATGGTGAGAACAACTCGTGCCAACTCCAAGAATGTAGAGGACAGGAACCTGGCCCTCGGCGAGGTCGACGTCCCCGAAGCCTCCAACAGGGCTCCCGGGGGCGGCGTCATCGCCGGGTTGGACCATACGGCTGTCGACCTACGCCAGCAGATTCAACAAAAAGCCCCCGATGCCCGCCTCAGCATCGAGGCCAAGAAAAAGGACTGGAGCGAAAATCAAATTAGCCCTCCGGTCATCACCATCGATGTACAATCGGCGCTCTCCGCCTTCATCCAGACGCTCACCCAGAACCCGGGTGCCTTCGGCACTTTGGTTCACCACCAACCTCGGGTCGGGGAGAATATTATGCCTCCCCCTCATCCACGACCCCTCGGTAACCCGGTCCTCCGGATGGGGAACTCCGAGGGGGGCGTGGCCCAAGATACGGCCTCCCAGGAAGTCCAGTCCCGGGACCGCCACAACGTAAACAAGGAACAACTCCGGACCTCCGCCCTCGAGAGACTCGGAGGGGCGAAAGACCGCCGAGGGGTCCAAGACCGCCTCGGGGGGAAGGCGTTCCAGAGGCCTCAGGAAAGTGGCGGGTCCGTCTCCAGGGCCAATGAAAGGCGTCCTCCTCAGGACAAAGGCAAGGCGCCTCTCCATGTCGACGACGCACGCCACCAAATCAACCAGGCCCACTTGGCCCGGGTCCATTCGCAGGGGGCGGAGGCCCTCTCGAAGGACCCCCGGGACGAAATCATTGCGGCCCTCCAGCGCCGGCTTGACGAGATGGAGGCCACCAAAGCCCACGCCACCACTTCTGCCCCTCATACAGACCTCAAGTATGAGGCGATGATGGCCAAAATGGAAGAAATGCAGAAGAAGATAACCGAGGGCTCCGGGGAACCCACCATACAGCTCCGGACCCGGAC